TTTACTTGCCCTGCCATTATTTTCACTAGCCCACCCAAAAAAAAAAAAGTTTAATTATTAGCTATTTCTTAGCCCCGTATTTTAAATAATGTTTCATAATGTTTTTAAATCTACAATTTCAATATATTAAAAAAAAAAAAAAGAATAAATGTATAATGAGCAAAATTCTAATTTTATTGCAAACAAAAGTAATAGTATGGAAAATGTGCAGGTATTTTATTGCAAAAAAATGCTTTTATTACTATTACTTATTATTACCTGCTAAACTGGCGGCAAACTCTACAAAACATCACTTCATATTTTTGTTGTGTTGTACCCTTGTAAATGTCTGCTTCCAAGACGTTAGAAATGTTTTCTTTTAGCATCATAATTTGATGTTATTGCCATGTTGCCGTCTTTTCACTGCACTGGTTGTTACAAAAAAAAACATGCTTACAACATCCAATCAAATAGGAGGAACCGAAAAGCAATATGGTGTTTATGACAGAGAGAAGGTAGCTTTTGAAGGCTTAAAAACACACTCTGTTTCTCGTTTAACGATTAGGCAAATTCAACTTTAGTAACGATCCTGTCTTCTGTCCCGAGCTTCTCGCATGCTGGCCTCAAGCCATCAGGCAGTCCTTATTGTTGAGTCCTGATATAAGATACTTTTCTAATGGTTGTCAAGTAAATTCAAATGTAGTACCTATACAAGTATGCATTTTCAGACTATTAAAAATACTAAATACTAAAAAGAACTATTCTGCACAATTTCACTTTAAATTTTTACATTTACCCATTTAGCAGAGTCTTTTATCCAGAAAAGTAAAACTAAAAAACATAACTTGAGCATAAACTTTGCAGGAGATGAAAAACGAGTGGTAACACTTTATTTTGATGGTCCATTTGAGTATTAGTAGACTGTCTGCTTAATATATGTTGATATGCTCCTTCAACAGACATTTAATTGACTATAAGAAACTTTGCGAGTACATGTCAACTAACACTGACCCTAAGCCTAACCCCAACCTAACAGTTTATTTATAATCTAACGAGAATTATTTGGTATGTAGATGCAACGTAACTTACATTTAACAAACGGACCATCAAAATAAAGTGGGACCAAACGGGTAAACTAGAGCAAATGATGCTATGCTTCATATCTGGTGTGAACCCAACAAAATCCTTTAAAGATGATTTTAGGTTGGTGATTTGCATCTCACTTAATTTTTTCTTGTTATTTAAAGTATTCATTATCCTAGTCTTTTGAATGATGTGCATGTTTACATACTCAGATTTAGGCCAAATCCCAATTCTATTTTTTATCCATACTCCTTCCCCTTAAACTTTGAAACAGAGTGTGAAGAGGAAGGGCTTTAAAATTTACCCCTAGGAAGTGGGACACCACTACAACACCCGCACATGTCATCATATGTCGTCGCGAGCACTTACTTACGATGGCATAGTTATTCCAGTTCTGTTTTTTTTTTTAGTATTTATCTTCAGGAAATCACCAAGGGCAACGATATCATGTTATCATAACCATATAATGCTGCAAAAAGATCGTAACTGAACTGTGCATTTACATCGTAGCCATATTCATCTATGTAAACACATGAAAACAACATTAACGTTATACCTGACAATGTAAAAAGGCCAATTTAGCATTTTTTAAATAGTTTTTTAAAAGCATCACCATAAATGTGAGCCATATAAGCAACTATCTTAGCAGAGTGAGAGCGCCTTAATGCTGGGAACAGCCATTACGATGTGAGAATGCTACACCAAAGACTTGTGAGTGGCAAACACAAACAGCAGGTAAACACTAAGAGAAATTAGGTGGAATTAGCTTGGCTAACAGTTCTTCAGCCAGGATTCTGTAAACAGATTAGCAGTGAAGCCATTCGCTTAAGATCTCAAGGAGCAATGGAAAGAGTTTTGAGCTGGCAAATAAGATAAAACTTAGATGCATTCCGGCATCGTACTTAAGAAAGATTTGGAGACATTTGTAGCACATGAGTGTTCTAATATGTTGCAGAGACTCAATCTTCTTTGCAGCTTAATGTATGTTTAATATGCATTGAGTGTAAGCAAGTATTAATTTGTAGAATAATCTGCATATTTAATATTTCCTAAATAGAGCAATAACTAAGACATACATAGAACATTTTAAGTTTACCCTAAAGCAGTGTTTCTAAACTGATGTGTCGTGACCCAAAAGTGCGTCGCGGGAACATTTTCAGTGGGCCGCTGAGTGTGTAATCAAGAGTTTAATTTTTAACTTATTTTGCTAATATCGGACTTTTATTTTGAAATGTGAATGCGACAACCGTACAGTTTGACATGTGAAATTTCAGCGCAAGTACAACCCCAAAGATGTAAAGTGTGAATTTACATATATTGATGACAAAAAAAGGCTAAAACCTCAGTGTGTCAGATGTAGTGAGGTGCTATCACGAGAGCATGAAACCTTCTAAATTAAAACGACATTTAGAAACCAAACATCTAGGGTTGTAACAATATACCGGTATGACGGTTTACCACGATTTGAACGTGCACGATTATCATACCATGAACAATTGGATATCAACGGTTTTAACCCTTAAAGACCGAGACAGCCGCCCGCGGCTAAAAATAAGTATTGCTCTTAAATGTTTAATAACTTTTGATCCGCTGATCCGATTCATACAATTCAAAGATTGGCATAAAGAAGAGAATCTTAGCTTTCCAGTGCTGTGTCACATAATATTCACGGACTTTCAGAGGCTCCGGAATCAGTGCGGTTACGTCATCAACATTTGACAACGCTGATTTGACAAAGAAACGCTCGTCACTGTGTCTCCGGACAAATCAGACATGATACATTGATGCATTATCCCTCCTCCATGCCCAGATTGGTTCAAACTCGCTATATCACAACCAATAAGCATAGGTTTCGCTTTTGTTTGTGGACCAAGCTTTTTGAACAACACGGAATGAGAGATAGGCATACATTTATGCGCGGCTAAATAAAACGCAAAAAAAAAAGTTTTGCATGAAATAATTCTCATACTAAGTACTTTTGCATGCACAGCAGCACAGAAACATGACAAAACAGTGACACAGCAAAGACGAACTGCTGCTCTTGCTGTTTTCAAAAGACGCAAATGAAGATGCAGCTGTTTGTATGCATTGCAGACAACCATATCCAAATCCATATCGATAGACAACCATATCCATGCTGGCACATAAAACCTAAGGATGTTCCATATTGAATCTAGTTTCGTTATGTAACTATTTATAGTATAGTAAATATTCATATCTATTTTTTACTGAGGATTTGCACCATGTTTATTTGGACTTTATTTGGACTTTGACGCATTATTTATTATTTTCTTATTTTTATTTGTTCATTGTAAGTGGTGTTGTTTATAGTAACTAAAAATATATTATTTGGAAAAAGTCAAATTTGCTTCACTGTTCTATTATTTTGTAACATTTGTAACATACCGTATACCGCGAAACCGTCAAACCGTGGTATTGTTTTAGACGATTATCATACCGTGAAAAATTCATACCGTTACAACCCTACAAACATCCCAGTTGCAAGGACAAACCTGTGGACTGTTTTCAAAGACAACTCCAATAGCTGAGGGCATCACAAAAGAGCCTAACATTTTTATGTTCAAAACAAGTACAGACATCCACACATCTTACTGTGCTCACAGTGTAGCAAAGGCCAAGAAAACCCACACAAAAGCAAAAGAGCAAATAACTGGTGCTTATTATAAAAATACTTATGATTATTTTAATAATTTTACTTTGATTTGCTGGTTTGTTCTGTTCAACCGGATCAGTGTTAATGTTTTATTAAAAGTTCAGTTTACTTAATGGTAACTAAACTTTACCTTACCCTAACCACTGTTTATAGTGTTTGACATTTTTACTTTGTAATATTTCTATAATTTCATAAATTTTGTTAAATGACAGCAGTAAAATATTGTTTATATGTAAGTCTTGGTGATTTTCTTGTCACTACTTGTGTATGTTAACAAATAAATCCAAATGAATTATAATTTCTAAAATTTTATTATAGTTCCTTAAAATTTGGGTCACGGTCACAGACCTTCATTATGATCACCATAGGTTCAAGTGGCCACATTCTAAAATGTAAAAGGCATCTAGTTTCTTGTATAAATACACAATTTACACTGTGCAAATCCAATTGTTTAACTATGGGGTCGAAAAGGCGTTACACTGTGGCTTCAAAGCAAGAAGGTCACTGGTTCGAGTTTTGGCTGGGCTAGTTGGCATTTCTGTGTGGAGTTTGCATGTTCTTCCCAGTGGGTGCTCCAGTTTAATTACTTCACACGAATGCTGTTATGAATGTATGAAACATGTACTTGTTTGTGGTAAAAAAAAAATTGTAATAATGTCAAAAAAATACTTAAATTTGTGCATCTCCTGACTCGCGTGTGCAGCCGTGAGGCTGTTGTAGCTGGTGTATTATGTGAAATTTTCATACCCCTTGGTTTCTAGTGTTGTTCTGAAAAATCTCTCAAATTCTATCTAATCCTTCCCTATAAGCCCTACACCTTTAAGCTAAAGAGAATTGGGTCACCCCTACCCCCTTACTTGTACGCGCAAAACAAGGAGTTGAGGTAAGGGGAATGGCTGAAGCCTCATTCACACTACAAGCGACAAGTGACCGTTCATTTCAATAGAGAGTGAGTGACTTCCGGCGACCTCCGTGTATGCGAACGAGAGGGACTGCTGGTGAACAGGTAGTATCGAGCGAAGCAACAAAGTTGAGAATCCTTCAACTTTATGCAAATGAAGAGCAACCTTCTTCAGTGACACCAAATAGTAGCACCGGTAGAGCTCACGTAACGCTATCTTAGCTTGCTCAGAGGCCGATTGTATTCTCTGTTCTGGTCGCCACCCTTCGCTGCTAGTGTGAATGAGCTGTAAGGGGTAGATTTGGGATTGGGCCTTAGACTTTTGCTTCACCTTTTTACAAAAGTAAATGTTTGTGTCTACAGAAAATGCAGCTCTGATGTCTCCAAATGATGAGGTGCAGCAGAGTGACATATCGTCCAGCAGTCATGGCATGGTGGAAAAGGAAGCTCTTGGGCCTCTTCTCTTAGAGGTTTGTTTGACATTTTGGTATCTTTATTTGTTGAATAATATATGTAGTAATTGCGATTTTATGGTTCAGAGTGTTGAGATGTATTACTATGCAGACCTATATCAGTGTCCTCATCTAAACCTGACCCAGTTTCTACAGATCTGAGTGTGAATATGATCCTTTGGTGCTTTCGTGGATCTTATTTTTGTCTTCCATCTCGCTTCTCTGCTCATTCCATAAGGCCCTGGATGGCTTCTTTTTCGTCGTGAACCGTGAGGGCCGCATTGTGTTTGTCTCTGAGAACGTCACCGGTTATCTGGGTTATACCCAGGAAGAGTTGATGACCTCCAGCGTCTACAGCATCCTTCATGTGGGAGATCACAACGAGTTTGTGCGCATTCTGCTGCCCAAGAGCCTTGGTAAGTCTCTCTGAATCAGATAAAAAAATTAGGTAAAGGTCTAAAATCACTCTACATCTAACATGACATGATGAGACATCAACAAAATAACCAATTAGGAGATGTTAAAGGATTAATGGACAGCTTTGATGAGTACAAATTTAACTACGGGTTGGCACGAAAACATGTTGCCTGTTCATTTATCCCGTCACACTTGTTTACAGCATGTGTTAAAGAATGGCATATAAAGCCACATTAAAATGTTTAAGCATGTATGTTTCAGTTATAAAATTGCTAAATAAATGGACATAAAAAGACTGCACCTGCTCACATGTGAAAAATAACGTCAATAGTTTTAATAAGCTCATTTTACTTTGCAACCTTTTATCAGAACAAATGATTACAGTTATTGTAAAAACTATTCATTCAACAACAAAAACTAACTACCAGTGTAAAAATACATATTTAGTTTACGATAAATTATTTTTACCAGTGTAAAAATAAAAATAAAAACAAAATATATGTTTAAAAACTGTTTAAAAATATGGTCCTTTTATTTTGATGTTCCATTTGTTGAATTTAAGTTACATTGCATCTACATGCCAACTAATTCTCATTAGATTATAAGTAGACTGTTAGGTTGGAGTTAGGGTTAGTGTAAGTTGACATGTACTTGTAAAGTTTAACTAGTCAGTTAAAAGTTAGTTAAATATTAAGCAGATAGTCTACTAATACTCAATTGGACCATCAAAATAAAGTGTTACCAAAATTATACTATTTTTTCAGAGACGGAACTGCTACAGACGTTTACAAGACTATTATATGTTAATTTGTTGATTCATTCACTCATTCATTTTCTTTTCGGGTTAATCCCTTTATTATTCTGGGGTTGCTACAGAGGAATGAACCACCAACTTATCCAGTATATGTTTAATGCAGCGGATGTCCTTTCTGCTGCATCCTATCACTGGGAAACATCCATACACATTCATTCACACACATTCACTACGGACAATTTTAGCTTACCCTATTTACCTATACCACATGTCTTTGGACTTGTGGGGGAAACCGGAGCACCCGGAGGAAACCCACGTTAACACAGGGAGAACATGCAAACTCCACACAGAAATGCTAACTGACTCAGCCGAGGCTTGAACCAGCAACCTTCTTGCTGTGAGGCGACAGCAAGAAGTGTCGCTGTGTCACTGTGTCGCCCGTTTATTTATTTTAATTCATTATTTATTTTTTAATTATCTTATAATTATTTTCTAATGTATCCTTTGGTCTCATTGTTCATGTGCCAATTGCTTCAATTTTAAATTTTTGTTCCAGCCAGCTCCATATTTTGACTGTACATGTTATTCATGTATAATATGCATTTTATTTCATATAAATCCTACACAAACATCTTGTTCATTGTTAGATGGGTGGGGTGGGAGGTAGGGTTTTGAATTTCTTTTTTTTGTAGTAAGCTAAGTTCACTGTGTTAGTGTAGTTCCAAGAGAACTTAATGTATGGTCCATAGGTATGGAATGATAATCGTTTTTAAAGTATACCATAGTTTGCAAAAGTCAAGGTTTTAAAACTGCCAACATTTATTGCTCTACTGTTTTTAAGTTATGTGTAAGATTTTCTTTATTAAAATTTTTTTTTAGTTTTTAAGACATCAGCATCTCCAGCAGAAAATATATCCAAAGGTGTCGTTTTAAATCGTAAAGAAATCTGTGTTTTTGAAACAAATGAAGACAGCAGAAGTCAATAATTCATTTGAAGTATTAGTCTGACAAGTTTACTGCTTCAAAATATTATAAATGCTTCTCAAAATAAAATATAGTGTTCAAAGGGGAAAAAGTTTTTTACCCAAACATTTAAAAAGAGCATATATTATAGCAATAATCACTATACAGTGAAACCGTGATATTTTTTCCAAGGTTATCATACCCTCAGAAACATATTCTGGTCCATGCCTAATGGTCCATCGCTTCATGTAAGTATTTAGGCAGTGTAACCATGGAGGGTGAAATGAGGGACAGTGGAGTGAGGATCCTTTTGCAGGTTTTAATTAGAATTGTAGTCAGACAGGCAATGATCAACAACAGGCGCAAATGGTTACAAACAAGGCATCGTCAGGTAACAGGCAGATGGTCAGTTCAGGCTGCAGACAGGGTAAACGATAAAGCAAAGAAAGGGTCGGAACACATGAAAACTATACCAGGAAGCGATTTTTAATGTTACACCTTATTCACCTTATTCTCCGCCAACGAGCGGGCGCTGCCATTTGAATCTTTTTGTCTCGCGACTTCCGGTCACATTCACTTCCATTCATTTTTTGATGTTAAAAACTGCTCATTACGCTGCTTGATGTTGCAATTTGATATTTTCTTATTATATTATTCTACTTGGTCTGTGTAGTCATGCAAACATTTGTTTGTAGAGCAAGTAGTTTGACCATTTTCTGCCGTTTATTATTCCTAGTCATTTCTCCCATAGGCGACTGAATCGGAAGTTCTAAGACAATCGCGAAAACAGGCGCACTTCCGCATTTTAGAATAAGGTCAATACACGTGAAGTGTAATCAGTCCATGAGCAGCATCAGCTGTGGGAGTGTAATCAATAGAGACTTAAAGCAGGTGTGTTTGTGTGTTGCAAAACAGGACTTGCAGTTCATATTGAGGCAGGATTGTTGTTCGTGTAAATGTTCTCCAGCGATCTGTGACGGTTAGTGGGGGGTAGAAGGTGGTTGAAATTATGGGAGTTTTCGGGAGAAATAAGAAAACAGGAGGGTGGTGGGAGATGGGTCTGAAATACGGGAGACTGTCTCCAAAAAAAAAACGGGAGTGTTGGCAGGTGTGCTCACACATACACTATGCACTCTGACTACTTCAATATTGTTGATAAGCCGTGGTGGGCATTTCTCCCTGTCTCGCACTGCACACTGTCGACCAATCGCAACAGACTGTCATCGGTCCAATCAGCGCTGATTAGCATTGCATTAAGGAGGGGTTTGCGAACAAATATCTCGCTAAACGAATCATATGGGAGTCGCTGGGATAATTAGGTAAAAATAAATGCATATTATAAGACAATGGAAGTGTTTTTTGACCCTGCATGCATATTATACTGTTATTGGAAACCCTTAAAACCAAAATATGACCCTTTTTTATGTGTAATAGGGGCTCTTTAAAATACAGTCAGAACTATATTGATGGAATTGGAAAGTAACACACAAAGTTCAGTTTGAATGCAGCTGAATAAAAATACACGTTTTATGCACAGAATATTTATTTTTAATTACTTTAATAGCATTTATTTGCTTAAAGCAGGGGTGTCCAAAGTCGGTCCTGGAGGGCTGGTGTCCTGCTGATCTTAGCTCCAACTTGCTTCAACACACCTGCCTGGAAGTTTCTAGTATACCTAGTAAGAGCTTGATTAGCTTGTTCAGGTGTGTTTGATTAGGGTTAGAGCTAAACCCTCCAGGACACCGGCCCTCCAGGACCGAGTGTGGACACCCCTGGCTTAAAGCATGTGTAAAGAAAGCTGTGTATAAGAAGTTGCTAAAAAATAGCTAGTAGAATTTTAAATAAATGAAATTGTAAGTGACATTATTTTTACCTTAAAAAATTTAAATAAAAAGCGCAGTTTATGGGGAAAAGGAACTAAAGTCAGGTTGAGCTCTTCACTAATCATTCACTGTATATACTAGCACAAAGGTTAGAGGTCAACATTTTTTCTCTTCAGAACTCAGTGACACTCCACTGGTGGTCTTTATCTCACACTTCTCTTACCTTGCACATCTGCGTGTGTGTTTGTGTGTGTTTTTAGTAAATGGTGTGCCATGGTCTCAGGAGCAAGGCCGGAGGAACAGCCACACGTTTAACTGCAGGTTGCTGAAAAGGCCTCCAGACGAGGTGGACTCAGAGAACCAGGAGGCCCGACAACAGTATGAGCTCATGCAGTGCTTCACAGTCTCTCAGCCCAAAGCGCTGCAGGAAGAGGGCGAAGGTGAGACCACACACACACACACACACACAGAAAATCAGACATTTAAAAACATTTAGCTTGGAGTCAGATGAAGCTGTCATTGACACTACATTGAGATCGGTTTTCATTTTAGGATTTGAAACCACTGATTAAAAAATTGTGTCGTTTGCATTTATCTTGCTTTGACTTTATTAAAAAGTTATTTGAGTCATTGCAGCGATGTATGGATGCAGTCCTCCAAGCTCATGGGAGTCATACATAATATTAATCCTTTTTCCACTGCACCATGACTTTATATTCCATACTGTACATTATTTCTGTTCAGTGACAAGACTTTTGTCTAAGCAAAGTCAGACCTTACTGTAATAATTAAATAGTTAAAAATCAAGCCATGATCATATTTTATTTTGGTAAAATAAGTGTAATCTAGAGGCCTTTGCCTTTCATTTAAGCCAAATCATCAACTAGAGGTCAAGTTATTTTTTGTTGTTACATTTGTCAGGTCATGTAGCTTTAAAAAAAATATTGTTTTAATCGGCAAGTATCACAGAAAGTTTTGATTGAATTAAAAGCTGATTAAATTAAAGCTGATTAAAAATACATAAAAATGTAAAAATATTTATTATTGTGTTTATTTGGTGTTTTCTTGCTAATAATAATTACCAAAACCTTAAAACAAATATAAAATATAGCCATATATAAGACAATTGCTAATAATAGGAAGTAACAGATTAAATTTTGTGCGTTTTTGTGAATAATCTGGTTGCATTGTAAAAATAACGTCATGCTTTTTTGAGGTTTGTTCCTCCAGATTCTTTTTTTTTTCCTTGTGTCCCCTACAGTACAGTAAAATTGAACATGTTCTTAATATTGCTCTGATCTGCTATATTGTATTTGTTAATTCTAATAAGATGTGTTTTAATATTTGATGCACTAACTGTACTAATTTTTTGAATTTAACTGAAATGTCTCTCATAATTCATGGGTAATTGCAAACAAAAAGTTGAATAGCCTTATAGTCTTGTTTAATCCATTGAATGTCTGTTGTCCACAGACCTGCAGAGCTGTTTGATCTGTATAGCATGTCAAATACCCCGTCCACCTCAAATCCCTGTTAGTACAGAGTCCTTCATCACCAAGCAGGACCCTACAGGTACGGTTTCACTACACACACAGAAACACACACGCACACACACACACGTACCGGTTTAAGATGCTCAACTTGTTGATCTAGCCACAATATCAAGAAGTAACAGCTCATGCTATGTTATTTAGGTTTAGACTTGACAAAGCAAAAAAAAAAAAACCTATTGTTTAAAAAAATGTAGCTGAAATATGTTAACAGTGAGTACGTTTACATGGACACCAATAATTTGATTTTAATGCGATTAAGACAATGCCCTGATTAAGAGTCCATCATGTAATGTAATGTAATGGGTATTTATATAGCACATTTATTGTGTATGGCCATACACACAAAGCGCTTCACAATCATGAGGGGGGGTCTCTATATGTAAAATATGTAAACATCTCTCTATGTAACCTGCAATTTTTGATTAATTTAATCTGATTAAGGTCATAATCGAACTAAAGAGAATTTATTATTAGAATTAGGACATGTTGATTACGCCGATTTTAGTCGCATTATTGATGTGCAGTACAGTCATGTAAACACCTTAATCAAACTATTACCATCATGATAGGACTTTTCCCGGCGTTTTCCTACAGAATAGTCCACACACACACACACACACACACACACACACACACACACACACACACACACACACACACACACACACACACACACACACACACACACACACACACACACACACACATATGGCTGTTGACACTCTCTGCACCTACTGCGTCAGTGCAGACCACAGACACCTGCATCGTATGCAGAGGTTTTTTTTCTTCCATTCAGCATGCGGTATGAGTTTGAAAAATTAAAAATGAAACACCCGAAATTACATGAATCTCCGGAGGTAATGTGAATAGTGTGTTGATGCAATGACGTTAATCAAATTATGTGTTATAACATGTAAAACGCGATCATGGAAGGAACATTCAAAAAACAAGTCATGTAAACATCTTAATCAGATTTATTTTCTTGATTAGATTAAGGCAAATAATTTGATTCCTCATGTCCATGTTAACATAGTCAGTGATGCACAAAAGTTTTCACTTTCTTTTCTTCATGTAAAGATCTGTTGGGTAGATTTACTAATCTTTCTTCTTGTGTGTTTGTGTGTGCATGTGTAGGGAAAATCATCTCTATTGAGACGAGTGCTCTGAGGGCCACAGGCCGACCAGGTTGGGAGGATCTGGTCAGGAAGTGCATCTATGCTTTCTTCCAGCCTCAGGGCAATGAGCCCTCCCATGCCAAGAAGCTGCTTCATGAGGGTAAGCACTTATAATCCTACAATTAGCACTTTTCACATGTGTATATTTCACTTGTATACATTTCAAGGCTTTATCTACATAATGTTACAGTACCTGAAAATGCATTTGTTAATAATTTCTTTAATTAATTAAGTAGCTGGTATGAATTGACCTGTATTTATTTATGTAGGTATTAATAAAGTAGTGTCCAATGTCTATTTTTAATCAAATTGCTAAATAAAGGTTTAAAAAAAATAAATATATAAAAAAATAAGATTTTGAAATAATGCTTTTTAAAAAAGTCTTTGCCATTTTTTAATACAGTAAACTGCAAAATTGGTGTTACTCCTGTTAATATTATGACCACATCATCCTTAAGTTTTATAATATTTCATAAGCTGATGTAGTTGTTCCTTATACAGTTTTGTAGAAACTGTGACACCTTTTTTCAGGTTTAGATTTTATTTGAAGATTCATTTTGAAATGCATATCTTTTATATTTTTGTGGAATAAGGAGCTGAAATTATGTTTGCTTTCCCAGTGATGACCCACGGCATGGCCATCAGTCCTCTCTACCATTTCACACTCAGTGACGGGACGTCCCTCAGTGCGCAGACGCGCTGCAAATTCTGCTGCCCCCAAAACCCAGACGTACAGCCCTTCATCATGGGCTTTCACACTATAGACAGGTAACTCTTTTTTCACAACACACAATACAGACAATATCTTTTGTATTAAGCCTGATGATTTTTTTTTCTAATTATTATTATTATTATTATTTGTATAGTTGTCTCAGTTTGGAACATTGCAGGATCTGCCTCCTTTAGTCATGTTCATACAATGTTCGCTTTATCTCTAGATGAAGTTTTGTTTCGTTTTTGTTTTGTAAAGTATGTTTTTCATACTTTACGTTCAGCATCTCTTTTTATATGAACACAATTTTATAAACGCAGCAATTTAAGAGCATCAGCAGAACGTAATGTGCAATAATAAACAGGGGACACATTGTTGTTGTCACCAGTGAATGTGGTCAATCATCAAAATAGCTGATTATTCACCAGCCGCAGTGAAGAAGTTGTTCTGTAACTTCTCTGTATCGTAATTCCTAACCTGCACTCACTGCTTAAGTCAGACCCTGAGCAGTCTACACACCTCAAGCAACTCAGACTGCATGAAATGAATTTAGAATAATGTTTGTTGATCAATGGAACAATCGATGGAGGTATCTGTGGTATGTGTACAGTAGAGCTGCACGACTCTGGCTAAAATGAGAATTTTTGCTTAAAATCAAGATCATAATTTTCTCACGATTCTCTAGATGTAAAATAAAGGTTAATATGAATGGGCTATTAATATTATTGTTATTTCTCAAACATATGGTGAGATAAACAATAATAATGTTAGCCCTATGTGTTGGTCTACTGTTGGTTAAAATGCTAAACTTTGTGTAGACTTGGAATGGTGGACAGAGTTTAAGAGTTTAACCAGTCCTGGTTGTTAATTCACAGTAAAGTGATGACATCAGAATACAACTATTCATAATACTAAAGTTTAATTATTATATTTGAGGCATATGGGTGTCATTTGTCATTGACAACATTATTAGGCCATTTTTACACTGGTAAAATGAAACATTTCTCATCATCAGATTTCCTCTTGCACTATATTGGCACCTCTCCTGTTCAACCTTTACATGCTCCCTCTAAGCCAAATAATGAGAAAGAACCAAATCTCCTACCACAGCTATGCTGATGACACTCAGATCTACCTAGCCTTAGTGCCTAATGACTACAGCCCCATTGACACCCTCTGCCAATGCATTGATGAAATGAGCAATTGGATGTGCCAAAACTTTCTTCAGTTAAATAAAGAGAAAACTGAAGTCATTGCGTTTGGGAACAGAGATGAGGTTCTCAAGGTAAATGCGTACCTTGGCACTAAAGTTCAAACGACAAAAAATAAGGTCAAGAATCTTGGTGTGACTCTTAAATCAGATCTGAGTTTTAACAGCCATGTCAAAGCAGTCAGTAAATCAGCATACTATCATCTCAAAAACATAGCAAGAATCAGATGCTTTGTTTCTAGTGAAGACTTAAAGAAACTTGTTTGTTCATGCTTTTATCAGCAGCAGGGTGGATTACTGTAATGGACTCCTCACTGGTCTTCCTAAAAAGACAGTCAGACACTTGCAGCTCATCCAGAATGCTGCAGCCAGAATTCTAACCAGAACCAGAAAATCAGAGCACATCACACCTGTCCTCAGGTCTCTACACTGGCTGCCAGTTACATTCAGAATAGATTTTAAAGTATTATTACTGGTCTATAAATCACTAAATGGCCTAGGACCTAAATACATCACAGATATGCTCACTGAATACAAACCTAACAGATCACTCAGATCTTTAGGATCATATAAACTAGAAGTTCCAAGAGTTCAGTCAAAGCAGGGTGAATCGGCTTTTAGCCACTATGCCCCTCGCTGCTGGAATCAGCTTCCAGAAATGATCAGATGTGCTCCAACATTAGGCACATTCAAATCAAGACTGAAAACACATCTGTTTAGCTGTGCCTTTACTGAATGAGCACTGTGCTGCGTCCGACAGATTGCACTATCATGTTTTTCTATTCTTCTTCATTCTTTTATATCACATTTTACCTGTTTTTATGTTTTGTTTTGTTTTTATTATTTGTTTTTATTTTTATTTTACTTGTTTCTTTTATTCTTGTATATGTAAAGCACTTTGAATTGCCATTGTGTATGAAATGTGCTATATAAATAAACTTGCCTAAACTTGCCTATATTAAACAATATATAGGCTAGAGTAGTTATACTGACACTGTTAAACATTATTATTATTTTATTATTATATATTATTATTATTATTTTCATGCACAACACTCTGTGTTCAACATGAAAGAAAAAACATCAAACGCATGTCATAATTATAACTGTAAAATGCGATATGATAAATTAAATGATGTGTGCGCTGGTTTCACTTTCACTGTCAAGTGTGGATCATTGCTGCTGTCACTTTGAAAAAAAACATACATCTTTTTTAAACTGCTCTCAAATGATCACTCGGTCCTGATCTTGAAAAATTGGCTGAATCGTAGAAAAGCTGAATTAAGATCATGTGTAGGGTCGAATGAAGATTGATTAATCATGCAGCCCTAGTGTAAAGATGTGTAATATTACAGACTGGTCCCTTTAATTATTTTACACATGAAAAAAATAATAATAGCTTAATAAGCACCAACCTCTCCGGGGTCTACAGGTGTAAATGAGCATTTTTGCTAAAACCTGACTGACACTATGCATCTTGCAAATGATTGTTTTAGGTTAAATGTATTGTTGTATATTGTCCTTGTATAAATAAACTTATACAACTGAACTAAACTAAAACACACCAATATGTGCATGAGCCCACTGCGCAACACTAGTTGTTTCCATCAACCTATTTTTATGCACATTTTGGATCATCGCATAAAAAATGCTTTATAGAAACGCATAAAATGCATACAACTGAGTTTATCCTATATGAAAAAAGTAATCTGATTTAGTTTTTTCTTTGACTCATTGGATGGAAACGCTGCTTTATTTGTAAATCTTTTTTTATATAATTATTTTTCTGGGTTTTCACCTTTAATGAATAGGACAGTAGAGATTATTGACAGGAAAGCATGGGGAGCAGAGAGAGGGGAATGATCAGCATAGGCGGGAATCGAACTCGGGTCGCCGTGAGCATCAGAGTGCATGCGTCAACACACTTACCACTACACCACTGGCACTTTTGTTCCCAAGTGTGCACAAACACACAAGGAATTTTTTGTGGGTTTTTTTCCCCCCAGAAGCTCAGGATACATACAGTTGAGGTCAGAACTATTAGCCCCCCTTTGATTTTCTCTTTCTTTTTTTAAACATTTCCCAAATTATGTTTAACAGAGCATGGAAATTTTCACATTATGTCTGATAATATTGTTTATTTTGAAGAAAGTCTTATTTGTTTTATTTTAGCTAGAATAAAAGCAGTTGTTAATTATTTTTAAAACCGTTTTAAGGTCAAAATTATTAGCCCCTTTAAGCTATATATTTTTTTGATGGTCAACAGAACAAACCATCATTATACTATAACTTGCCTAATTACCCTAACCTGCCTAGTTAACCTAATTAACCTAGTTAAGCCTTTTAATGTCACTTTAAGCTGTATAGTAGTGTCTTGAAAAATATCTAGTCAAATATTATTTACTGTCATCATGGCAAAGATAAAATAAATTAGTTATTAGAAATGAGTTATTAAAACTATTATGTTTAGAAATTTATTAAAAACCAAGAACACAATAACAGAGAATGACATTTAAATAAGTGGAGAATAAAGTAAACAATAAAAATTCTTAAGTTTTATATATACAGTATATACACACAGTTAGGTACATAAATGTTTAGACATCGACAGAATTCTAACATTTTTGGCTCAGTACACTAACACAATGGATTTTAAATGAAACTAACAAGATTTTTAACTTTAAAGGTATTTACATCGAAATCAGGTGAATGCTGTAGGATTACTACAGTTTGCATATGTGTCACACTTGTGTCACACTTCTGAATGGGTACATAGCTAATAACTATTTTTTAAATTGTGTTGCAGGGAACACAACACTGCTAGCTCTCAGGAAAACACTACCCCCAGCCTTTCGTCTCCTGCTGCTCCCCCTTCCCGCTCGCCTGCCCTGCAACCCTCCAGTGACCTCAGCATCCATCTCAACAACACCAACGGCACCTGTGCCACTCCCGGCCCCCTCACGCCCACTCCACCAGGCTACCTGACGCCCAGCCGCGTCGGGCCGTCACAGCAGGTCAGCAGCCCCTCTCCACTAGGCAGCCCTCTTACAGCAACCCCTACCTCATTCATGTCGCCCCGACCTCCACGGGGCAGCCCGGGCCTGGCCAGCAGCCCACGAGTGCCCGGACATCCATTCTCCCCCTCAACGCCCAGCATCCACTCGCCAGCTGGTGGACTAACCAGGCAGCAATCTGGCGGCGATGGTGTTGGTTTCTCGCTCCCTTCTCCTTTGCCCCCCAGACAGACTCCAACTCCCAGCAGCTCGCCGGCAAGGCAGCCTCCTGCCAAACCGCCAGAAGCATCCAACGATGAGCCTAAAAGCAATCAAGTCGGCAACCCCAAGCTCAGCCAGCTTTTAGATGGCGCAAGCGCCCCCGAACAAGACTCACAACCCCGTCCTTCACCCACGTCCCAATGCCCGGCCTCGCACAGCAGCCTGACAGAGCGGCATAAGATTCTGCATCGGCTGCTTCAGGACAATAGCCCTGCAGATGCGGGCAAGGAGCCGGATATTAAGAAGGAGCCCCCGACCAGTCCCAACTCAGCCTTGATAGCACGGGGACTCGGGAAGGAGCCCCAGGACCACCAGCTGCTACGTTTCCTGCTGGATACGGATGAAAAAGACCTGGAGGACTTGCCACCTCCGGCCACCCTCAGCCTTCAGACGGTAAAGGTGAAAGCTGAGAAGAAAGGAAGCAGAGAGAATGTGTCCTGTGCTGCTGCTTTGGCCAACAATGCCATGCCTGGCTCACCTCAATCCAGTGGCAAGGCCAGCCCGGTATTTATGCCAAAAATTTCTCTTATGCTTAGCAAGGCTGCATTTTTTTGGTCAAAACACACTAACAGATTATTATTATTTTGTTTGACAAATTAATTATTTTGTTTATTCAAAATTAGAGGCAGAAATTTACTGTGTTTTCTCAAAAATACAATACATTAGAAGAAAGTTTTAAATGTATTGACATGAGTTTAAGTCCAAATGAATTACTCCTTATCATAAAGAAAAATAACAAATAAATGAGTTATTCAACAAAAAATAAGTATTTAACAATAAAATCAGAAGAGGAAAAGAATCATAAAAATAATTAGAAATTAATAAATAAATATATTTATATTTTTAACAAAGGATACAAGTTAGCATATATAATGTAAAAGTCTTGATTACTAAATAGTCCGCAGTCACAACCTCTGAAAAAGCACAAAGAAAAATAATAGATACTTTCCAGGGATTATTCATTAAATGTGTCCAGCAGAGAACATAAAGAATTCTAAAGAATTAGAACAAAAACAAGAGCATTCTTTATGAACAACTGACAACCCAAAAAAACTTACAAATGTCAAGAGAACACCTTTATTTAACATGGAAATCTGTTGTAATGTCTAAAGCAGGGGTAATTAAGGGTAACTAATACAGTATTTATTTTTTATATTTTATAATGAACTTATTACAGTAAGTAAATTAAAAAAATCTATACTTTATGAGAATAATTTATAGCAGAATGGAGTTACACTAGTTTTTGCCTTGATTTGCTTGCCCATGTCTAGCACTTTGTTAAGTGACAATATTCATGTTTTAAAAACTCAGATTCATTTACATTTAATTGAAACATTTAATTGCAATTTACTTTTTTTGTAGCTCCGCAGTAAAACAGACAAACAAACAGAAAAAGGTTACGTCAAATTAGAAATGACAGTGCCCAAACCTCTCTATTATTTTCAGATTGGATGATGGGCCAAATCAAAGGAGGGGCCTACTTTGGCCCGCGGGCTATACGTTGGGCATCTCTGGTCTAAAGTCTTTTCTGTGGCTTTTGGTTAATTTAATGCACCCTTGCTAAGTAGCAATATTTATTTCTATCTATAATAATCTCAGCAATATAATTTTAGAGGAATTTATGATAAAAAATGCACAGGTACAATACATAAACAATTTAAATAGCAAAATATTGTGGGCATAAAGAGTTCGCAGCATTGTATTACAGTAGTGGCCACATTATCATGTTTCACGAGTACATGTTTTGCTGAATGTTGCTAATGGATAATTCTGAATATTTGGTTTAATTTTGCACATTTGATTTGATTTGAAAGTCATATTATTATTTGTTTTTTTCAAACTGCATTCCAATTTGGTCTGTGTAAAAGTATAAAAGCATTAATAATGTCATTTATAGATTTGACATGACAAAATATTAACTATATTGAAATTATTTTAAAAAATACCATTAAAAACAGTCCATGCTTGCCATTTTATTATATATTATAACTATACACACACACAATATTGATTTATTACATCTAAGTTATTAAGGATAGATAGATAGATAGATAGATAGATAGATAGATAGATAGATAGATAGATAGATAGATAGATAGATAGATAGATAGATAGATAGATAGATGGATAGATGGATGGATGGATGGATGGATGGATGGATGGATGGATGGATTGATAGATAGATAGATAGATTAACATTAGTTAATGCACTGTAAATTAACATGTCAATAAATGTAGTAAAAATATAGGTAACACTTTAGGTCACAATTCACAGTATTAACAAAACATTGACTAACACTACTAGCTTAATATTCTACTAATTAGCTGTTTATTAATACTTAGTAAGTAAAAATTGGGTTTAGGTTTTGGGTAGGATTAGGCATGCAGAATAAGATCATACTTTATAGCAGGGATGTCTAAACTTGGTCCTGGAGGGCCGGTGTCCTGCATAGCATCTCCAACTTTCTTCAACACCTGCCTGAAAGTTTCAAGTATACCTAGAAAGAGCTTGATTAGCTGGTTCAGGTGTGTCTGAATGGGGTTGGAACTAAACTATGCAGGACACTGACCCTTCAGGACCAAGTTTGGACACCCCTGCTTTATAGCTACTAAGGAAAAGTTAATATGCTAATAATAAGCAGGTAATAAGCCAGTAGTTAATCACGTGAATTGCGACCTAAGCTAAAGTTTATTTTACTATTTTAACTCCAGCTTTTCAAATCTCATCATCAGGTATTAACTGTCAGGAGACTTGTCAAATCTAGTGTATGCGCTAACACTGGTTTTCATCACATTTCGTCTCTGCATAACTTTTCGCTCCTCTCAGCTTTGTGTCATGTCACAGGAAAAGACTATTTGCTGAAATAATTTGCAGCTTCAAATGCCCCTTCAAAATCCCACAGAATATTTGTGCTATATTTCGCAGGCCTTTTTCTTGCCAGATTTACTCTGTTACTGTGTACTTAAACTGTCAAAGCATCTGTTGATTTGAAGCGGTCATGTGTGGACTTTGTCTTTCTTGTGCCCCGGTGTGCCTTTTGATGTCGATGACCTTTGCTCTCATTCCCACTCCACTGCTGTGTGTGTTTACACGAGTAGCAGTTTCCCAGTACCGATCTGGACACTTTAAACCAGCTCTTGCCCACTCTGAGAGCCTCTGTTGGAGGTAAAACAGTAGAGGAACCCAGTGAGGACAGCCTTTCCATCGGGGTCAATGTGAAGAGAGAGTCACCTGGAACATCAAGCCAAGGTGAGGCTCTTCAAAACCATCAAACATAAACTCCATAGTAAATATAAATTCACCATTCTTTTTTTTTATTCCTCACTTCTTTTTATAGCATTCCCTGATGGAGAAAACCTCTCAAGTCAGACCTCTTTTGACTTTTGTGACCCATCCACACCAAACCAGGGTCAGAGTCAAGTCCAGGTGTCGGATCTTGGCCAGACAGAGCTGTTTCAGCCACCTAAGGAGAGCAGCAGCCCCTTTGCCAGTCCAACAAGCCACAACTCTTTTAACACTAACACAGGTTTGGAATTAAACTCATCACATGCTATGAAAACAGAGAGTTTGATTGGTTAACGGCTGAAAGGGCTTGGTATGTTAAGATGATTGTATTGTTTTCTCTTTTTGATTCAGGTCTGGCCAAACTGGAGCTTCCAGATTCTCAGCAGTTCCAGGCTTTGCCTCTGGTTGAACCAATGACCTTTGATAACAGTTTGGCCAACCAGACACAGGCCCCTCTGTCCTCTCCTCAAGAGTGAGTGTTTTTGTAGAAATCTGATCATGGTCAGGCTACAGAACTAAAAAAAAAAGGTTAAGTAACTTAAATTTTAAAAACTAAATTTTAGGCCTTTAAAAGTATTAAATTCACTGAAATATTGTGTTGTAGGGATTAAATCCTTTTAAAAAGTTCTTCTTTCCTACAGTATGTCCAAGCAAAGCTAACAAATTCGGCTGACCCCCAATTACCAATAATTCATCTCAAAACTGTTGTTTCTATTGCAAAGAGATACAATTCACAACGGCTGTTAGACATTTTTACAGCAAATTCTCCAAATTAAATTCCCTAATCAGGGAAACCTAAAAACCAAAGCAACACATCTCTTTACATGATCTTTTATTAATAGAAAAACTATTTTTCTGAAGTAACTGGGCCATAAAAAAACAAAAAAAAACATTTGTATTCAAACTTGTCTAAGTAAAATTTCAATCTTAATTGATTTAAAGGGTCTTAAATTTGACTTGAAGAAACCTGCAGAAACCCTGTGGAATGTTATTCAGTCAGTTTATTAATTATATTTTGCTACTATATTATGTTTTGAAAGCTAACACTTTTTATTAGCAAAAAAAAAAAAAAAAAAAAAAAAAAAAATATATATATATATATATATATATATATATATATATATATATATATATATATATATACCCTAACCTTATATAACCCTTCATGTCCATTTTTTATATAATTAATTTACATAATTTATATAATGTATATAAAGTTTATTATTCTGCCTTTAAACTTCTCAATCAACCTTTTTTATTCTTCGTTGTATAAAAAAAATTAATCGGATGTCATTTTATTTTAGCTTAATGTTCACTAACAAACAATATTTTTAATTGTTTTAAGCAAACACAAACAGCAATATCAATTGAAGTGATTCGTGGTCTTTGGCCAGTTTTTTTGTGAAGGATCACAAGTATTAAAGGGTCATTAACAGTGGCGAAAGTAACAAGCAGTTTTTCTCAGGAATTGTACTTTACTATGTAGTTTTAAAAATGTGTACTTTTACTTTCCCTTGAGTACACTTTTAGTGCCGTATCAGTACTTTTTAATCTACTACTTTCCTTCAACCTGCAGTCACTACTTTATTTTTTCTTGTCTATTGGGATTAGAAAAGTCAGTCCTGTGATTCCTGTCTAATCAAATCACACATAGAAGGTAATCGCATCGTAATGAACTACCTCAAGACATGGCGTACATGGAAATTTATAATTGCAGCAAATCGTTTGGAAGCATTAAAAGTGTCCAAGAAAATTGTCACACACAATGACCCAGAGACTGCTTAGATGCATGTCACTGATAAGAAGATGACGAATGTCTACTGTATGATGACTGAAATGGATTTAAACAGCCAGCAGGCACAAGAAGTCAACATGATGTCAGATTGACGTTGTACCCCAACATCATAAAGACGTTGCGTTTTCTTTGGAAATGAAAATCAGGTGGACGTCAAAATTAAACGTCATCCAAACGTCAGTGCCCAACATCCAACCTAAAATCAACCAAATATCAACGCCTTATGATGTTACAGCTTGATGTTGTGGTGACGTTACCAATATGACGTCTATCAGATGTTGGATTTTGGTTGCCATACCTGACGAATAAATGTCAGTATTTGATGTCAATATGACGTTGGTTTAAGATGTTGGCTCGACGTTAGATTGTAGTCACAGCAAAAGCTAAAATCAACAAAATATCAACGTCATTAAACTCACTACAGAATGTTACAGTACGTTTACACACATCCACAAATTACATGTAAGTCCATCAGCTTTTTACAGCGCAATACTCACTACCCCTGAGTACTTTTAAAAGGTCTATTTTTTTTACTCATACTTTGAGTAATATTTACAACAGATACTTTTACTCTACTCGTACTATATTTTTAGGTAAGTAATGGTACATTTACTTAAGTATGACTTTTCAGTACTCTTTCCACCACTGGTCATAAACCCCTATCTTAGAGTTCAAATCGAACTCCAAATTTGTAGCTTAATATGGTAAAATGTGAACTAAAGTGTTGCTTATATTTACTACATTTATTAACAGTTTTAGTTCACAGTGCTTTAACTAATCTTAACACACACAGATTAAGTTTAACTAATGTAACAACTAAATTCTTTATCTTTAGCTTACATGGGTGTGTGAAGGTGTGAGCAGAAGGTAGAGGAGTGGGCGTGACAGGACAAAACATTTCAGAAAGAGGAGAGTGAGCTTACTGTCATCTGTCAGTGGCCCAAATTGACAGTGCTTATTTTAAAATTTAGGTGCACACACCTACTTTAAAGGGAGAGAAAAGTCCTTGGGCACTTGAGCGTTTGAAAGTCTTGTCTGTCAGCATTTGAATGCAGTGTCAGTTCACTGATGGATCAGCTAATATACATGGCTTTCAAACATCCCAGTGTCCATACAAGCACACTTGTAAGCCGATCATTAGAGCCAATCACAGTCATCAGTGCTTACCACAGGTTTGAAATATACTTGCGGTTGTAGCCAGATTGAAACACATCTTCTACCTGCAGCACATGGTTTCCTACATGCGACAAATAAAAGTGATTTTTAACAATATTTTTACTTATTATACACTTTCTTTTCAATAGGTGTAAGGTTCTTTAATGGTTGTTAAGATAAAAAAAAAGAAATTCACTATTTGTTTTACTTTTATTTTATTCAGGAGCCATGTGCACCCACTGACAGGTAAAATCTGCTGCTGACATTTTGCACAGTATTGCCAAAGCATGTTAGATATGTATAAAATATGTAATACATCAACATCATCAAATAAAAATATATACAGCAAATGAGAGATAAATGACAATAGAATAAAAGCATCTATGGAATAAGAATCTCTAAAAAAAAGTTTAATAACTACAAGAATAAAAAGTGTAGATTTTTAAAATAAGGCAAATGAGTTAATTAAGCATTTCTTACGGTGTACAAATATTTTGCAGCCAGTTTAGATGTAATTTTGTCCTCTCTGAATAAATAGTAAAGTTTATCTGATTTGTTTAGATCAAATGATCAATTATATAATGTTTCTCTCCAGGGTCGGCCTGTGGCATAGACAATAGAAGCAAATGCTAAGGGCGCTGCACATCCAAGGGGGCGCCAGAAATGAGCGCGGTTAAGTTGGTTTTGTTTTCGATATTCCTGACACATTTAGTGATAGACGGCAATAACTCAAAAACCTCATACCCTAAAAAGATCTAAAGTGTGTTACCTACAAAAAGACAAAGCTGGTTATGTTTCACAGCTGTCTTTTTCTATTGTTTCGCTCGACATTACAACCACTGCTCCGTTTAAGCCCTCGCAATATGCGTTTAGCTGGAGGAGCTCGCGCTGGGCAGAGCTCTCAGTAAGGGATCGTCAAAAAAGTGCTTCTTTTTTTTTTTTTTTTTTTTTTTACTCCGTCCTGCGTGTTTTATTTTAAACACAACTAATTTTCACTTAAATGAGCACAAACAGTTACTAAAGTACAATGCTTTAATATAGGTCTGTACATTCTTAAGTGACACACCTGTTATCAAACAAAACACAATGAGACATTCATTTGCTGCTCTTCACTAAATAACTATAGTAACTGTAGTTACAAATAGTCAATATACAAAAACAATTAAAAGTGAAGTAGATTTTATAGCTTTATTTAATTTCTATATAGGCCATTAATTTTAATAGGCTAAACCTTTTATTTTATTGTCAATATTTTACAACGTTTGCTATGTATTCTATCATTTGAAGCTATTTGTTGTCCCATATTTTTTACATCCCAACGTTGACTGATTGCTAATCAATAAATAGCTATAGTGCTATCTGTAAGTTTTAAAATCAGCTAATGTTATAGGAGGGCATAGATGTTATGGAAATTAGTAATAGCAATGTAACTACCCCCATCATTCCTTCCTTAAGCAACTATGTAAATATTAGATCTATTCAGCAATAACGTTAGCTGCATTGGCATGTTTATTTGACATTTTCCCAGCTTGTAGTAGTCGTCTAAAAAGTCGATCATTTAGTTTCTTATGACTATACAATAGCAGTGGAATTTACTGCAATGTGATGGGGCGCCTCCTGAAATCTTGCCTAGGGTGCCAAATTGGTTAGGGCCGGGCCTGTTTCTCTCGCTCTTGCGACTGTGAACACGCTGTCAGCTGTAAAGCCAAGCAAAAGTAAATTGTGTTTAAAAAAAAATTACGACGGCTTAGAAAGCAAAACCAAAAGCCAAATCCTGGATATTTTTGGAGATTATTTTTGCAATTTTAAGTCCTAAAAAGGCACATCCCTATGGGTCTCTGCAGAGCACATGAGATTGTCTGTGAGAGTGTTGACAGTTCTTGCACACACAAAGAGAAGTAGGAAACATGTTGGGCGAGAGAAGCTTTTCCACTAGTTAATCGATTATGGATGATTGGCTATTTGGTGGATACAATAAAAGTGTAAAAGGATTATAATAATAAAAATAAATAAATGTCACCAAATATACTTGGACGGCCGTTAATATACCTGGGTGGCCCGCCCATGTAAAGTCTATGTGTGGTAAGCACATATCTGCCAATCAGCTGTGGTCAAAATGCATTCGAGAACTGCTTTTATCTTCACATTTTTTTACGTTTTAGTCCAAACTCATAGAAGTTGGCATCTCTGACAGTCCATCATGAACTCCTAACTACTGTGCGGACTCATAGTTTGACTCAATTATTCAGAAATTCAAATTAAAAACGCAATTCATATTTAAAAGCAGGTATTTCAAATTCTAGTGGCAGATTCACATTTCTCTTTACTTTTATTTAATTTTTATTTTATTTACTAAATTATGGTGTAAAAGCTCAAAATTGAATAGCTCACAGCGGTCAAACTCTAATTAAATGTAATTAACACACCACATCAAACTAATTAAATCTTTAAGGCTTGTTTAAAAGCTACAGGTAATTCTTTGGTCACACTAGAGTTTGATGTGAAATTCTGTTGTAAGGCACTTTAAAAAAGGGCGGGATTAAACAAGATGATTAGACATTAAAGAAATTAGCGATTGCTCCATATTTAACATTTTTGTACAGAGAGGTCTTATTTTGATCTTCAATTGGTCACACACAGTCACGTGATGAGATTTCGCAGGTCGGAGTTTACCAAGCTTGAATTTTGCAATGCAGCGAACTACGAAACTTTTGCATTTCCGGTTTGTCACATTCCCTTGCGTATGAAGGGAAGTCTATTGGGCAGAAAGTGCAGGTTGAATGTGGCTTAAGGGTGTTGAAGCAGAGTTGGATTCAAACTGCAGGGCAGCAGCCCTCCAGGAACTAAATTTGACACCACTGAGCTAGGCGTTCCTTACAATTAAAGCTAGCAAATGCTAATGTTGTCTTTTTTTAATGTGTTGAACATCAGTTATGTTAAAATCTTATTTTTCATGACTCTAATATACGTTTGTCACTTTGATGTATAAAACAGTTAATGAGAAGAAAAGATACAAAGAACATTGTTGTACACCTACTTTGATTAGCATCTGAAAGTAAGTGTTGCTGTTCTGAAAGTGTTGGCTGGTAAAATGTTTTGTCTGGTCCCTCAAGAATCAATTACCACTATAAACATCACCCGGGTCGGAAGGAAACAGATGTGTGCTTTCACCCAAATTCTACTAAAAGTGTTAGCCAAATCAGCTAGAGTACCTGTCAAATTCTCCATCTCCAGTAGCAGTCAGAATCTCAGACCATCTCTGTCATTTGTGTTTGTCTCTGAGCAGGCAGTGTGTCCCGTGTCCGCTGGATGAGATGCTGTGTCCTCCCACCACCCCAGAGGGACGAAACGACGAGAAGGCCCTGCTGGAGCAACTGGTCACTTTCTTGAGCCACACTGACGAGAGCGAGCTGGCAGAGCTGGACCGAGCGCTGGGCATCGATAAGATTGTTCAAGTTCGTATCATATTTTCGTCAATGTTCTTTGCTGACCTTTTATTGTATAGTTTTGACACAATAATTAACTTTTGTTTCATATTTGCAGGAATTCACTAAATACCAGTTAGCAAGATTAAATAGTGGGTGTAATGAGTTAAAGTTAAAGGTGCAGTAGGTGATCTGCCTACATGCTATCCATTAGCATAATATCTTTAAATATCATTAAATCTTTAAAAATCATTTAAGATGACCCACTTGATCATGTCATTCACCAGTTAGAAAACTTTATAGTACTTTATAATACTACAATTCTGAACTGAAAACTGTATTGAATCTAGCACGTTTTCAGTTGTGTAGCAAGCAAAACTTGTCATAATGTACAATATTTTATGCATGCAAGGATCACGGGTCACACTTTCTCACACGCTTTTTCCTAAAGTGACTAATGTATGCTTATTTGTTGACTGGCAGCGTGCTGGAATTACACTTATTACTTAGCCATGTTTACTTGCTTTAATAAGCCATTAAATAGTCACAACAATCTTTCACAGAGAGATTTAGGTGGCTGAACAACACTTCTGTGCATATAACCCATGGCCCGAAATTAACTTTTTTACTTGGTAGCACCGGTGTTCCGAACTTCAAATATTTAGAAGCACCAGAAAAAAATTAGGAGCACCAGAAAAAATTTAGGAGCACTCACCAAAAATAAATGAGCTCCATAGCAAATTGTATTTTAAGGGAATTATTGTATTTGAAAACAACATCAATTAGGACTAACAAAAAACAGAAACAACTCTCTAACTAATGCTGAGATGACATTAATATTTGTGTGCAATAATTCCAAAATGTATGTCTAATAATTATAGAATATTAATGATGATGAAAATGACAATAATACTAACAATGATTTACATTTCTCATCATCTTGCTGCCTTGAATATGTTTAAATGCAAGCTATCCGCTGTAAAAGTCAGTTACTTTATGAAAAATAAATGTATGGTTTGCATCAAAAAAAAAAATGAAGTATTGCACTAGGAAATATTTATTTTGTGCTATTGTTTTTATATGTATGGCAACTTAATAAATAATATTTCTGCTACAAAAAAAACGAAAGATTATAATAAATCATTCAATTTAATGCTGAAATCTGCAAAACAGTCATCAGTAACTAAATAGAAAAATAATATACATCTCAAGAAAGATGTATATCTCTCTGGTTTCCCCCACAGTCCAAAGACATGCGGTACAGGTGAATTGGGTAGACTAAATTGTCCGTAGTGTATAAGTGTGTGTGTGTGTGTGTGTGTGTGTGTGGATGTGTGTGGATGTTTCCCAAATTATGTTTGGGATTAATTGTTGGATGTTTTCCCCGGATTAATAAAGGGACTGAGCCGACAAGAAAATGAATGAATGAATGAAATAGTCAACATGATAATGTTTTTTATAAATCCAAAATCAGACAAATAAAGCTTTAGGGGTAGTTAATGTGTTGGTGCTGTTTGAAAAAGGGATTCATAAAGATAAACAACTAAATTGTAAGTCCAAGGCATTCGAAAAGTAAGTGAACATGTTAAAAAAGCCTTTATTAATATCCATGGCAATAAAAGCTGTTTTTAAATTCACTTTTTGAATGCAGTTTTATGATTACAATGATGCTGGTATTATTAGATAAAAATATACATCTTAATCTCTTTTTTCATTTGCAAGAAACGTGTCTAAATTTTTGATGTTGTTTCTATTTCCATCCTTGTCTACAGAGTGGATGCCTTGAACCAGTCACCCAGACCCCCTTTCCTCAATCTCAGCCCCCAACACCTGTACCCTTGGACCCCAAACTGCCCAGCTACCCCTCTCAGTTCCCCACCTCGCCCTCACAGTTTCCTGCTGAGATGGCCACCGCACAGGGCATGAGCTTTGGGGCCCCACGGATGCCGTTTCCAGGCAACGTGGTGCAGGCCGGCATGAACCGAGCTCCCGGTGTGTCCAACCAGCTCCGGCTACCTCCAAACCAGCTGAGACTCCAGCTCCAGCAACGCCTGCAAGGGCCACAGCAGGTAGAGCTCCAGCTTTCACTTCATTGTGTGCTAATAAATGCCAATGCACAACATCTAAATCCTCCCCTTGGACTTTGTAGCACCGTGCAATGCTTTCAATTTCAGCCCTTTCGAATTACCTACTGTGGAACTAACCTGTGCTTTTGTGGTGTGCAGCTGCTGGGTGAAGGCGTGATTAGTTGCACTTGTTTAGCGGTGAACTCTATCTGCTTTCTCTCTTCATCAGCTCCAGAACAGGCTGGCAGCCATGGGCTCCTTCCCCCAGGGGGGGCATGTTGCCATGGGGATGCGTCAGAGCATTCAGCAGCCTCAGATGCCCTCTCAGGTGGGGTGAAGGAATTTGTTGACAAAGGCTTTAATTAATTGTGGTCGTTTTGCATAGATCTAGATGTTGGCTGTTCAATTAGATTTTTTAATAGGTTGCGTTATTTATAAATATATATCTATATCTATCTATCTATATATATATATATATATATATATATATATATATATATATATAATTGAAGTCCTCCTGAATGAATACCCTCCCCCATTGTATTTTTGACAATTTCTGTTTTATGGAAAGATAGAAACTAATTTCTAAACATAATAGCTTTAATAACTCAATTCTAAAAACTGATTGCTTTTATCTTTGCCATGATGTCATTAAATAATATTTTATTGATATTTAATAATATTAAATATCAATAATATATATAATAATAATAATTTTTTATATTTTTCAAGATACTGTTAAACAGCTTAAAGTGACATTTAAAGGCTTAACTAGACTTATTAGTTAAACTAGGCAAGTTACAGTAATTTGGCAAGTCATTATACAACATTGGTTTGTTCTGTAGGCAATCGAAAAACATATTGCTTAAAAGAGTTGATAATATTGAGCTTAAAATGCTTTTTTCCATTAAAATCTGCCTTTATTCTAGCCAAAATAAAACAAATAAGACTCTTTCCAGAAGAAAAAATATTTAAAGATATACTGTGAAAAATCTGTTAATCCTCTGTTAATCCTTGTTTGGGAAATATATATATATATTTTTTAAATCACAGGAGGGCTTATAATACTAATCCTAGCAGTTATTGTTATTATTGTAGTATGTAATTATTTAACAATTAAATTTAAACGTATTTCTGATTTGCCCCTGCCATCACTCAATTTATGAATTGGCTATTATTACTAATATAGTGTGTCAAAACGTAATATTATCATGCTAACAATTTTGTGACTGTTATAAGTGTATGCATTCCTAAATCAACTAGATAGACATTTATCATCAGTCCTATGCTTCTGTGCATTTTCACACTCTTTCCCTCTTTTTCCACATGTTTTTTGTGTGATTCTGACAGTCTTGTGATTTCTCCATGTGTCTCTCAGCCTCCGCTGAATGCTCAAATGATGGCCCAGCGGCAGCGTGAGGTCTACAGTTACCAGCACCGCCAGCGGCAGCTTCTGCAGCAAAAGGTCATGCTAATGAGGCAGGGAATAAACACAGGGCCCCTGGGGGCTCAGAGACTTCCTAAGGGCCCCCAGCAGCAGCAGCAGCCGCCACCGCAGCAGCAGCAGCAATTTGGCTTTCCTCCAGGATACAACGCTGTGCCTGGAAACACCCCTACCTCCCCGAGCCACTTTAACCCCATGGGAGGACCTCTGGACCCAAAGCTGTCCGTCAGGGCAGGCCTGGGGAACCAAGGCATTATGGGAGCCATTCAAGGGCAGTTTGGGGGGCCTGTGAACACTCCTGTTCAACAGGGGCTTTTCCAGCAATTTGGGGGGTCTGGTATGTGTCATTTGTATGTTTTATTTATTTTTTAAAAGAGAGCAACCATTTTCATTTAGTTTATTTGATGTAGTAGAGTAACTAAACTAAAACAGAAAAAATAATAACTTTATTGACCTATTGAAAAAAAATAAAACTATTAATTATTATGTATTTAATTATGTATTTAACTTAAACCATAAAAATTGTTACTAAAATAAATATTTTAATTTAGCTTAATAAATAATTAAGAAATATTATTTATAACTAAAAAAAAACATTTAAATAAATGTATTTATTATTTTATTTAACCTAAATAATTTTTCAGTTAGTTTACGTAATTGGAAAAAAAACCTAATTATTTAAAAACACTTTACAATTATATAAAATTATATAAACGTACAGAATTACTAAAACTATTATTTCAAATTAAAATGCAAAGTGTACAAATAAACACTGAAAAATGTCATTTAAAAATTTTAATATATTTTATTAATGCTAAATATCACACTGATTATGATATGCTTCTGCTGTCTGAAAGAGCTGATGTAGTTTTTGTCTCTCGCAGGCATGATTCAGCAAGCAGATCCATCGTTTGCTCCTGAGCTCAGCCCCACCAGCCCCCTGCTCTCACCTCAGAACTCCACCTCCCAGAGTCCTCTGCTCCAGCAGACACAGCCTCCGCCTGGTTACCAGTCACCTGACCTCAAGACCTGGCAGCAGGGAACTGTGGCAAACAACGGGTATGTTTGAAATCAATCACAAAAAAAGTTAGATTTTTTTTTAATCTTGTTTACAAGTCCCCCTGAAATCCAAATCTTAAGGTTATGTATAATCTAGTGTGCTTCAAAAAAGTGTATAAGCATTCAGAAAATAATTCATGAATTGGACTGATGCGACAAAACTAACTGTAGGTTATGTGATAATTGCAAATGGTGTTTGTAGTACGTCCAAGCTCCATTTATTCTACTAACATTCATACTCACCACAGCATTTATACACATGGGTCACTCATATCCCAAGACACAACAGCACAGAGTGGATCATATGAGAGCCTGCACAGACTACAAAACATATGCGAATGCTGTGTTTTAAAGTGGAAAAATGGTTTGCCTCTGCATTACTATTATAGTCTGTGACCGTCCTGAGTTATATGTGCTCTAACTCAACTACTCTGACTGGTAGAACTGTGATATAAACAAAATACTATTGGATACTTTTAAAAAGGGGGAGGGGCTCTTCTATATATCCCGCCTTTTCATCATGTTTCATTTGAAAATATGTCAAGCATCGAACAAGGCTGAGCAGTTTAAGGCACTTTAGGGGACTTTGAATGTGTTTTGGTCTATGTTTAAACTTGTTTTTTTCGTCTTTTCTTGTTGTGTGTCAGTATGTACAACCAGGTGGGTCCGCCAGTCTCTCAGAGCTTTGGGCAGCAGGGCGTTTATAACAACATGAGCATCACCGTGTCAATGGCCGGAGGCTCTGGAGCAGTGAACACTCTACCTCCTATTGGTCCATCCGTCGGCATGGGCAACAATAACCTTGGCAACGTCACCACAATGTGTAATGAGCAGGTAAGTCAATGTACTGTTTATTGAGATGACTTAGAGGCATGCACAAAGAAAAAGAAAAACGTGTGTCCACAATCATTATAGTTGGATGAAAAAGAACATGATTTTTAAGTTACTTAGAATCACATTTTTGTCATTTTTATTATGTTTTAGTTTAATTAAAATAAAAAGAAAATATACAAATAAAATCAGAAGTATAAATTTTAAATACAAAATCAAACTAAAAGTGCTCAGGGTTAGCTTAAATGTTGTGTTGTTGCTCTTTGGGTAAGGGATTCATCAGAATTAACAGCAAAAGTTAGTCCAAGACGCTCAAAATAATATTGAAAAAAAATATTAAAAACCTTTATTGATAAGGCTATTCTTTAAAACTGCGCCTACGCGTTTCAGCAAACACTTGCCTTTATCAGGGTAACACAGAGATGAAGATGAACAGTTTTAAGGTATAGCCATGTCAGAAAAGGCATT